CCTACAGAGAAAATATTCTTTAGCAGCACAATAGTCCCAGCTCACCTCATCCCTGATGCCATAAGGCTGAGTATAGCGCATGTTCCACTGAAGATTTTTAATGGATGTAAGGTGATGGGAGCCCTGCTGTGTATTACAAATGGTAACATGCCAGCAAGAAAAAAGGGGAAAAAAAAAAAAAAAAGTGGCATGTTGCTCTAATCAGTCTAGAATTTATCATTTTGAGTTGGAAAGTGAGGGTGCGTTGACTTCAGAAAGAGGCAGAGAGATGACTTGACGTGCCTCTCCGCTCTCCTCCTCCCCGCTGCAGAAGCACAGTGTAAGCCCTACTATTCGGATTACTCCCGCTTCCGCCTCCTGATCCACCAGATGTGCACCAGCCACTACCTGGATTTGTTCATCACTGGAGTGATTGGCCTTAACGTGATCACCATGGCCATGGAGCACTACCAGCAGCCCAAGGTACTGGGACAGAGTGGGGGAAAGCCAGGGGGACGGGACATGCTTAGCTGTGGTGGGCTGTGCTGATGGGCAGAGTTAAGGCCAGCTTTGCTCTTGGACCTTGGGGCTCCCACTCACCATGCCCGACCTGGCCCTTTGTCCCATGGAGCGTACCCATCTTTCCAGCTCAAACCGTGGCTTTTGGAACCTGGATGCCGTTGCACTTCTCCCTTCTACTTAAGTGCAAACGGACCGCTTTGGAGACAAGGATGAGAGCAGGTTTGTTTGGTTTACTGGATGAGATCATCTTTGAAATCTTCCATTTGACTTAGGATTTCCACCAAAAAAAAAAGGAGAAAAAGGAAAAAGAATAGAAGAATTTGTGAAATGTTTCTTTTTGCAAAGTTTCTCCTCAATCCCATAGGGCCCAATTTGCACAGGTGCTGGTCCTTAAAGTACATTTTAATATATTAATGTGCTAAGTTCCTGTGTCTTTTTCATATTCTGAAAATAAAAACAGCCTGTCCTGGGATGTCGAGTCTCTTGTGCCTAAGAATGAAATGGAAATAGCTGCCTTTGCCGTATAACTTGTACTTATTTTTATTAGCCACTTTCAGAATGAATAAATATAACACACAATAGGAGGAAATATTCTTTAAGACTAGCCAGGACTTGAATACTTAATGTAAAAAAACCCCAAACAATAAGACATACAAGCAAGGGGAAAAATATCCTCCAGCCTATCATAAAGAAGCAAAAAAGTGAAAGGGCACAAGCCCAATTTATATTTTTTTTTTGTTCAGGTCACCTTTAAATACCCTGGAAGGCTCATTGCATGATTCAGTCATTTGGTGATGAAAAAGGTTGTTGGCTAAGGAGCCTGTATTGGAATCGCTCTAGGGCGTGCGTCTTACCGCAGTCGTTTTGCAGCTACATTTTCTCTTGTATTATAAAAATGTTGGGCAGGCTTTTGTTTTTAATTTTCTTTAGGAAAATAACATTTTGTCTCTAAGCCTCTGGTATGCGGCATCTGGGTAATAACTCCAAGCTTGGGCTGTGCTGAGATGACAGCACCGTTAGAGCCATGCACATGCTTGAGAGCCCTGCTGAATCAGGGCCCCCAAATCGCTCTGGTCTGGGTAACTGATGCTTGGGATCCTGCAGATATTTAAAGGGCTAAATGTACTAGAGAGCTTCATATCCAGCCTAACGATTGCTTGGCATGTTGGTGGTGGGATACCCTGGGATGCCCTGTGGATGAGATCCCAGCTGGAGATGCTGCAGTGCACGTAGAGGTCGTTCAATCAAAGAGCTACTGGGCAAAATCTGGTTTTGCCAAATAAATATGCTCGTTTGCTGACAGAGCCCAGGGACCCTGTGGTATGACAGGGAGGCTTGTTCAGAACCACGGCTTCCTTTGGTGGCTGGGCTTGCACTTCTTGGGCAGGTGAAGTGTTTTTCATCCATGGGTGCTTGAAGCTAAACTGTAGCATGAAGGCAGAGAGCATGGCTTAAATTCCCTCCACTATGATTTCTCCCGCTTGGGGATCAGCAAATCTTAGTTTTGGTCTGAGAGCACTCTGCTGCCATCTCCCACGTTCCCTACAAGTGCTCTGGACAGAGTTATTACTGCGTCCATTTGATGGACATTAATTAAGAAGCCATGCAGGATGCTGCTCACCACAGTGCTCCTTCATGAGCGGGACTTTTGGGATGAATTAATCTCTGAGGTGGCTTAATGCCCGGCTGTGCAGGAGCTGTCCCAGCCAGGAGGAACCTGTAGTTAATGGCCAGGCTGTGACACCTGCGGAGGGAAGGGTAGGCAGAGGAAAACCCGAGGCACTCGCTCCTGCTGGCATGCCATCCCTCTCTCCGGCTCCTTGCCAAAAGCTCAAGGTGAGGAGTAAATGACAGGCTGTCACAGAGGAGCCGTTTGGCCAGCGCTTGCACTGGCCCGGCCAGCCCACGGCGCTTGCAGCACTGCACAAATGAGCAAATGGGATGAAATTCAGCTTTTCTGCCGAGAGCACGAGGGTTTTGGCGCTGCTGACACCTGCAAATGCAGCAGCTCTTACCGCTCACCCAAGCGGACCCAGCTGGGGCCGTGGGGTCCGAGTTGTGCCTTGGGTTTGTGTCGTTCCCTCCTGTGAGTTACACCAGCCGGGCTGGGGCCAGGCAGAAATGCAGCCTGTGCACTCCCTGAAGTACTGGGGCTTTTCCCTGGTAAATTTGTCGTCGGAGAGAGCCCACGGTTGGAGCCTTTTGTCTGTAGGTTGGAAATGAGTACCTGGTGAAAGAAGCAGAGGGCAGGTTTGCAGGCAGCAAAGCCCCTCAGCAGAGCCGGCATCTAACCTTGGTCCTGTGTCCACATCCCAGGTTCTTGATGAAGCCCTGAAGATTTGCAATTACATCTTCACCGTTATCTTTGTCCTGGAGTCTGTTTTCAAGCTTATTGCCTTTGGGTTTCGTCGCTTCTTCCAAGACAGGTAACAAATGCTCCGTCATGACCGCGGGAGCAGGAGCAGGTTTCTGGAGACAGCTGCCCAAATTCAGTGTCCTGGACCCCGATGCTCTTCCCAGTGATGTCAGTCTGATATGTGTGAACACTTTTTGGTGTGACTAATTGAAACCAGGGTAGGTGGACACTTGGGATGTGAGTTGGAGAAAGGATCGTGCATGCCAAGGAGTGTGATTGCACCACTTTGGCCCTTGGGGGTGGACAAAATAGGAGTGAGTCACACACCGAGCTGCTGGTTCTCTTCTCACACCGGTTGCATGTCCGTATGGTCAAGAGGACCTGGTGAAGTGACAAAATTTCTGCCAGGAGAGAGACTGTGGTCCTGAGTGGAAATGGAAGAGAAAAGGGACCTCTTTTTAAGCAGATGCTGAGCAGCAGATGAAATGACTTCTTTTTCTAGGTGTTCACTCTCTTACCTCACAAATACAGATTTTATACCCTTGGTGATTCTTTCCTCACCCATTTTTTCCTCCTTC